AACAAGACCTGGTCGCCTATTACGAGGAGGGGCTCACAGAGTAGGTCTGCCCTAAAGCCATTCTTCTGCCTGGAGGAAATCCTGCCACAGGGATGTCGCCTTCCTGACAATGGCCTCCTGAGCTCCAGGCTCCAGACCCCGGAGGGGCTTCCAGAGAAGTAGCCCCAGGGATGGGTTTCCTGGAAGAACCAGCCTCAGAGAGTGGAGAAGCCACCAGAGGGACAGGGGCCACTGAGGCTCAGGTTCGACTTTGAGGGAACCATCCCCAAGGACACACAGGGCACAGTCTTTCCATCACACACACACACACACACACGCACATATACACATAATTACACACATACAAATGCACAAACATACACATACATACTCACAAACTTACATACACAACATTGACACATACATATATATACACATAACACATACATACATATACACATACATACACCTATACACACACATACACACACACCTACATACACATATACACAAACTTAACACACATATGTACACACCCACACACAGAGTTCGGGACTCCGCAGTGTTCTGGCTTCTGTGTCCCTGTAAATATCAGAGAGCAGTCTGGGCTCACTCCACAGTCGTCAGAGTCAGGATCTGCAGGAGGCAGGACCTCCCAGTGCAGAGACACCAGTGGCAGTGACATACAGCACGTCCTGGTGTTACAGCAGGCAGAATGCTAGATATGAGCAGAGAAAGGAGGACACAGACCAAAAGACAGGAATTGGGCAGAAAGGAGAGCCACAGGCCAAAGGCAGGAAACCACACATCACGTAAGCACCAGGGGTCCCTGTGCAGAAAAAGAGAAGCAGGAACCTTTGGGCTGATAAGTGGTCACACCTTTTGGGGTGATGAGTGTGTGAGCTGGAGATCGACAAAAAAGGGCGAGAAGAGGCAGCAATTTCCAATGTCCAAATGTAACCATTTGCTCATTATGCCCACGTTTCAAAAAAATTAGCCTTGCAGATCAGAAGTACCCATCGTGCACCCACGCCATGACACTTCCCACCCAGGCTAAATAAGGACAAAATTCCCTCCTTCCGTTTGGAAGGTGGAGTTGGGATGATAATCAGGGAACAGGACCCAAACCCTTCCCTCCCCAATGAATGTTCCACCTACTCATTTTCACACCCTGTGTAACTAACTTGCCAAGAAACACAGGGCAGCCGCTCACGTGAGCCCGCCTGCTCTGCCCTTGACAGTGTACTATCCATGCCTTAATAAATCCTAACTTTGCTTTTTTTAACCACTATGTCTTGTCTCTTAATTCTTTCTGGGACGGGACAAGACACTAGAACACCGTTAACACCCACCGGCAACACCAGTGTCGGTGGCGGCTTGGACAGCCTGGGACCTCCTGCTCTGCTGGGGTGACTCTGATGCTCCGGGTCCCAGGGCGAGTCTCTGCCTCCTGCCGGCAGCTCAGCTCTGCAACTACCTTTGGGTCCAGACAATGCACGAGTCCGCTCAGTGCATCTCTTCAGGGACAGCCACCTCCGAGCAGTGTGAGGATCTGACACATACCCTCCCCTGCACTCTCAAGGCTGGGCTGTCGCTCCCTCGGGCACCACCTGTGACATCTCCACGGAGGCAGACTTGTGCTCACAAGTCCCCAAACTCATCCCAGAGTCACAGGGCTGTCACCTCAGGGACACGGTCCCCATTGTCTCCACTTCATCACGACTCAGACCTGGGACACTGACGTGACTTCTGGGTCCTGTGGCCCTGAGTAACAGGAATTCATCCTCTAGTGTCAGGCATGTAGGAACAGTGTCTACATCCTGAGCTACTGCACAGGGAGCAGGTGTCACAGAGACAATGGAACTTGACTGTGTGTTGGGTCTGTCCTCTTATGTCTAATATTCATGCTCTGTCTTGCAGACCCTTTGAAAAGGAATGTGGCCCACAGCCAGAAATGTAAACCTTAGCCCTTTCTCAAGGCTCTGCCTGCCAGACTGGACCTTTAAGGACAACACTTTTCATTCTCATGGAGATGAGAAGTTGCAGAGCAGAGAATCACATGTGTCTTGTGGGACCGTTGCAGCATCATTATGACCAGACCACCTGGACAGCTGTGCCAACCCTTAATCATCGTATCCCCGCTGGAGTCTGGCCAGCAATGAGAAGCCTGCAACCACCAGCCACCCCTGTTCCCTTGTGACAGAAACGTACCTTAATTCTGACTCGGGTAAATGGTCCTTTGGGGTCCTCATCCATCATCTTCACCTGCTGGCTTTCCAAATATAGTCGCTATGCTTTGCCCCAAGGCTCTCTTCTCCACTTATTGGCCTGCCATCTGGATGCAGTAGGGGACAGGGTACCAGCATCTCTGTGTATCACCTCCCAGTGCGTAGGGGCCTGGGGGCCTGGGGGCCTGGCTGCCTCCACTTAGATTTCAAAGGAAAAGCCCCAGGCCTTTCCCAGGTTCACAGCTGGGGAGGAAGTTGCATGAAGGTGGATTGTCCCTTGAGTCTCACGCACATGGTTTAGATGGTAGTGAGGTCAGTCTTTGGGCTCAGTCTGTCAAGTTGACTCTGGGCCAAGATAAGACGTTTGGGGCTATGGGAGGAATCGGATGGAGGGATATGGATTGGGGGCCGTGGGAACCATGCTTGGACCCAATGAGT